CGCAAATACTCACAGCACAACCAAACAAAGAAACGCGCTGCAAATAAAATTCTTTATTTGGTTGTGTTGTGAGCATTCGCAGCACCTGCTGTCAAACTGATGAAGATGTTGTTTTTTTTTATTTGCTGGTAATTTTTCTATTTGCATGTGTTTTCTGAAGTTGCAACGCATTGCGCTCTCTCTCGGCCACCGAAGCTTTCACTTCACAGTTCTCTAATTTTTTAATGATTTAATTATATTGTAAACTTTTTTGACTTTAATTTCAGGTCTAATGGAGGAGAAAAAACATCATGTCAAAACTAGAGGAAAAACTCACTCACAGACTGAAAGTATTTCTTTACTGAAAAGAAGAGACAAGAAAAGTTCACCTGCACTCAGTATGGAAAGAGTTTCACATGCAAACCGAGTCTCAAGAGACACATGAGTATCCACACTGGAGAGAAACCATTTACATGTAATCAGTGTGAGAAGAGTTTCAGACAATCATCAACCCTTAAGAAACACATGAACATCCACACTGGAGAGAAACTGTATGAATGTGATCAATGTGGAAAAACATTTTTGTGGGCTTTAAGCCTGAATAAATACCTGAAAGTTCATTCAAAGGAGAAACCACATTCATGTTCTTTCTGTGGAAAGAGTTTTTCAGAACTGCAAAGTTTAAAAGTTCATCAGAAGATACACACTGGTGTGAGAGATCATATGTGCTTTGAGTGTGACAAGACTTTTATTACAACTGATCATTTGAAACTGCACCAGAGGATCCACACTGGAGAGAAACCTTACACGTGTTCACACTGTGACAAGAGATTCAGTCAGTCAGCACATCTGAAAACACACGAGAGGATTCACACTAGAGAGAAACCGTATCACTGCACTTGTTGAGGAAAATATGCAATTGTCTTATAAAGAAAAAGGCAAACTTGCAATATGTAATACCTTTGTATTATATCCGCATATATTGTAATCGTTTTTATTTGGAAAGTGGTTTATTAAGAAAGACACCACACGTTATATTGTATGCGATTTTATTAGGAAAAAGGTTTATTAAGAAAGTCACCACACGTTATATTGTAATTGTTTTAAAGCATTTATTGAGCAAATATTTTTAGCATATATTAGCAAAAGTAAAGCTAGAAATGAAACATGTATTAGTAAGAGCTTTGCTAAAGAAAACTGAAGAAAAGGGATGTTACTGTAGAATGCTGCGTTGCAGACGCAGAGCAGGAGGCATTAAAGAAGAAAGTCCCGGAGGAGAAAAATGTGAAAATGGAAGGCTTCTTATTGTGGGAGCTTCTTAGGGAATTTCCAGACCTCATGACGTCACAAGACATTGGAATCCACCTGCTCTCTATAGACCATTTCAAAGCCGTAAACAATAACAAACGCGTTGGAACGCTACTGCGCATGTCTGGTCCTGAAGCATTTCCGGTAACGCCATTTTAAAATCTCAGATCTGTCAAAACAATTGTGTACTTTTTAAGTCTAGCGAAAACGCAACAGTTGCGGTATTAAAAAAATTATAAAAAATTGGAATTACCTAAGGCGCAAACTTACAAAGAACATTAAAAGTAGTCTTCCGGACAGCTTTGATTGATGCTGCGTACACGAGAGATGGCGGTAAATGCATATCGCAGTCTGGATGCAATTAACTCAGCAGAAAGGTTGGGATCATTTGTTCGTACTATCGATGACATCAGTCTTATGTTTGCTTAAACTGAAGCAAGACAAACAGTGTCACTTACGTACTTCTCATGTTTTGTTGCCAAGATGTCCGGGGAGGTTTTTAATGGACATTTCACTTGCATTGCTGGGTTAGTCTGTATATTTCATATTTATTGTACAGCACTTTTCACAATCCATTCACTTGCATTGCTGGGTTAGTCTGTATATTTCATATTTATTGTACAGCACTTTTCACAATACATTTTTGTATGCATTTCACTGCAGCTTTACAGAACATGCATGTATATTACAATGCTAAATGAATGCTAGGATACTAATCAATACATGCCATTATTACTGATTTCATTCGTTTTAAAATGTGTGCTTAGTTTGGACAAGTTTGTTGCTGTGGAACAGTGCGAGAATGCATTTGAATGCTCTATCTGAGCCATCATGTGGTCACAAATAAACAAGATGAATGCAATTCAATGCTGGCTACCGTGTTTTGCATAAACCTGTATTATTATTATTTTAAGATAAAAGTATAGCCTACATGCAGATTAATAAATGCACACACACTACATACAGTATATATGTGGGTATGTATGTTTTTATGCATTTACTGTAAACGCTCATACACATACAGAAGTACTGGTCAAAAGTATGGGCACTGTTACTATTTTTTATGTGTTTGAAAGAATTCTCCTATGCTCATCAAGCCTGCATTTAATTGATCAAAAATACAGACAAAAACAGTAATATTTTGCAATATTAATACAATTTAAACTAATGGTTTCTTATTTTAACCCATTTAATCCCACCGTAAAAAAAAGGTTCTCATTTATAAAGCTCTAAAAAAACATACTGACTAATGTTTTAGTGCACTTCCTGCAAATATGGAAAAAATAAATGGTCTCAATTAAATATGTGCAGTTTCTCATGATTAGTGCAAATTGTCACATGATCAAAGCAGTTTAATTCCTGTTTGCACCTTGAGAAGATGATGACTGCATCAAAGCTCCAAAATGAAAGGCTAGTAAAGTATGTTAACATAAAGATATGACAAAGACTTTTGATCATATTAAACAAAAATTATTGTTTAATACATCAGTACATGTTGGAATTAACATTAGACAAGCATAATAAGTGATGAAAAATGTTTACCGTTAGCTTTTGTAAATTACTGCAGTTAACGGTTTCACTCTTCAACATTCAAGTTTGCAGTATACATTTCTATAACGTTTACTCGCTGCATTTATCTGCTGACAAGATAGCTAGACAACTAATGTGAACTCATATTTAATTATAGCCCACATAAGGCTTGGCAATAAAACGGAAATAAAAGCTTGGCCTTTTTCACTAAACAAGAATCAAACCGCTAGGCGCATATGTAAACAATGACAAAAGCACAATTTTGCACAATACTTGAAGAGTTAACGTAAATAAATACAAATAATCAAATGGAAAACAACAACATTTCCTTACCTGAATCGAAATGTGCGCTGTAGATCCAAGAGCTGCGAGTTGCGATTCTCTTCTCGCTTCACTGCTGCAATCCAGGCACGTTTCTTGGAAATCTAAACTTCACTCTTTAATTTCAGATTATTTATTAATTAATGTTAGTTCCAGGCCAGAGGGAGCACCCAACCCCCGAGCAACAAGGATCTAATTTTAATAAAAAAAATTTAAACAGCAGGATTAAATAAATTATCGTAATCCCACTGTGCATCAAGCACCTGCCGCCATTGTTTTTGAATGCGCTCAAACACTAACCGGAAATGTCCAAGGAACAAAGACGTCACTTCCTTAAACCACCGAATATCCGTTGAAATGGTCTATAAGGGACTGAAGTGCAGTGAGGAAATCAGATGCTGGTTCTGTGTGACAGCTTCTCCGGTGCTGGTGGCCTTGTCATTGATGCCTCTAAACAACTGAGCTTGTAAATTATTATATCTTTGTTTTTATTTCTGTTTTTTATATTAGTATTTTGTTTGTAACGTATTTAACCTATATACAATAAACTTATACTTAACTATAACTAAGAAGCTCGCCTGCCAAAAGACTCTGATTTCTAAACTTGAGCAGAACAGACCACGGAGAAGTCTTCTGTGATCTATTTCGTAAGTATGAAAATTTGAATGCTTATGAGATAGGACAGATTTGACTTGTTTTACCTAATCTGAGAATAAATAAAATAAGGTAGGTGTAGGACATTTAGCACCGTAAAACAAAGGACACATTTAATTTATAATTTGTCTTAAATCTCATTTTGTTAAAAAAAATTGTGAATCAAATCGTGAGTTGAGTGAATCGTTACATCCCTATGAAGATGGGTTAAGGACTCAGCTGCTCGGATTGAGTTGGGCAGGTCATTCCACCAGGAGGGTGAAGTAGTGGATTTAGATAACATGGTGCAGAACCAGTGGTGGTTTTGTAGGCAAACATAAATGCCTTGAATTTTATGCAAGCAGCTATTGGTAGCTGGTGCAATTTGATTAACAGAGGTGTGGCGTGCGTTCTTTTCGGCTCGTTAAAGATTAATCTTGCAGCTGCATTCTAGATTAATTGTAGAGGTTTGATAGAACTGGCTGGAAGACCTGCCAAGAGAGCATTGCAATAGCAAGTAGTGGATTTAGATAACATGGTGCAGAACCAGTGGTGGTTTTGTAGGCAAACATAAATGCCTTGAATTTTATGCAAGCAGCTATTGGTAGCTGGTGCAAATTGATGAACAGCGGTGTGGCGTGCGTTCTTTTCGGCTCGTTAAAGATTAATCTTGCAGCTGCATTCTAGATTAATTGTAGAGGTTTGATAGAACTGGCTGGAAGACCTGCCAAGAGAGCACTGCATTAGTACAGTCTGGACAGAACAAGAGCTTGAACAAGGAGTTGTGTAGCAGGTTCCGAAAGAAAGGGCCTGATTTTCCTAATGTTGTATAAAGCAAATCTGCAGGACCAGGCAGTTTTAGCAATGTGGTCTGAGAAATTCAGCTGATCATCAATCATAACTTCAAGATTTCTGTCTGGTTTTGAAGGAGTTATGGTTGATGTGCCTAACTGGATGGTAAAATTGTGATGAAGAGATGGGTTTGTTGAAACCACAAGCAGTTCTGTCTTGGCAAGGTTGAGTTGATGGTGATGGTCCTTCATCCAGCAAGAAATGTTTGTTAGACATGCTGAGATACGAGCAGCTATCGTCGGATCATCAGTATGGAATGAGAGGTAGAGTTGAGTGTCATCAGCATAGCAGTGATATGAAGAGCCATGTTTCTGAATAACAGAGACAAGTGATGCCATGTAGATAGAGAAGAGAAGTGATCCAAGAACTGAGCCCTGAGGCACCCCAGTAGCTAGATGTTGCTACTTGGACACCTCACCTCTCCAAGATACTTTGACGGACCTCTCTGAGAGGTAAGAATCAAACCACTGGAGTGCGGTTCCTGAGATGCCCTTTGCCAAAAATAATAATAATAATAATATTAATTAGGGCTGGGCAAAAAAAAAGATTTTTTTGATTAATCGTTTTTTTAAATGACGTCGATTCGATATTGATTCTCAAAAGCCACGAATTGATCTTTTCCGGTAACGTTATGTATTTCAGCAAACATTTAAAACACGATCTGATTAATGTGAATCTTATCATTAGTCTTCTCCAATAGATGTCACCCTCTTATTTACCTTACGCGATGTTACAACGGAAAGCCTGTCATTCATATTCAGTGTTTATCATGGAGGAGATAGTGTTGACAAGAACAAAGCAATATGTGTGATATGCAATGCTCAGGTACAATTCTAATACTACAAATCTGCGGAAGCATGACATCACGCATAAGGCGCCATGATTTCTGCAATGAATGAATGGCGGATGGTGCAATGCACGGTTTTGTTTACTACACACATACTAAAGCGCGGATGATGCTGGTGATGTTTTCAGCTGCTGCTGTCTCACTATATGACAATATAAACACACGAATATCATCTCAGGCTGCTCTGAGAGTCCCTTTATTAGCATTGTACTATTTCATTTGAGAAAACTACTGTCATATCACATACACAGCAGCTGCTGCAAGTTCCTCACGGCAACCCGTCAAAATAAAAGTTTAGTTTAACATGCAGAAACTGTGTCAGAAATATTACTATTTAGCAGTCTTAAAACGCACTGTAACAACAATGCTACTACTACTACTACTACTACTACTACTAAATATTAATAAACCTTTCTGTTTAAAGGAATA